CCTGGGGGCTGTGGGGGGAACCGGGTACCTGTGGGGTCGGTCGGTGGTCGGGTTGCCGGGAGCCGCGTCCCCGCCGTGCTCCCAGACCGGGTGCCGGTGCCGGTGCTTCTCCTCCTGCACCTCGAGCAGGTCCAGGTGACTGACGTGGCCGTGGCCCAGCTCCTCGTGCTGGATCTGGACCACCTGGACGCGGCCCAGCCCGAGGCTGCCCAGCAGCCGCGCCAGCCCCTCGAAGGGCAGGGTCCCGTTGGCCCCGTACTGCCCGAAGAGCTGCTGCAGGTAATACCCGTGCTCCTGCGCCGCGTCCTCGGGCAGCGGCCCCGGCGGCTCCGGCGTCCCCCCGGCCCCCAGAGCCAGGAGGAGCCCCAGGAGGAGCCCGGGGGGGCCCATGGGGCGGATCCTGGGGACAGCGGAGCTGGGGGAGGAGGGGGACGCTGGGGTGAGGGTGGTGGGCCCAGACCCCCTGCCCGTGGGTGCCTCCTGGGACGTGGGGTCCCTCCGAGTGGCCCGTCCGTCTGTCCGTCCACAGGGAAAGCCACAGGCGGCACCAGGGTCACCTCCCGGGCCACGTGTCCCACACCTGGGCTCAGGGACACCCCTGGGCAGCGGGGCTGGGACGGGGCGCTGCCCCTGTGCCCTCCGAGGGCTCCCAGGGTGGGAGATGGGGGTGGTGGGGACAATGCTGGGAGGGGACACGGTGACCCTCGCCCTTGAGGGGAGGTTTTGCAACCGGAGCAGGTTTTGTGAGGGAGTTAATGTTTCACCGGGCGGCAGAGAAAGCCCTCGGTACCCCCCTGGTTCCCTCCCCACGCCCCCACCCCACCACCCACAGCCCCATATCCCCCCACCAGCTCCCCCTTCCCAGCAGGGACGCAGGATGGGCGCACGTGGAGAAGGCATGGTGGGGTGGCCGCCCTCTCCTCCCACGTGGGGCCAGGCCACGATGGAAAACCCCGGGAGCCAGCACCCCACCGACCCCCACCACGGCCCCACGGTGCCCCTCACCCTCACTGGAGCCACCCCCACCCACCCAGGGGGGGTCTCACCGTCCCCATCATCACTCTCCTCGTGGGATCCCAACCCCAATGAGGCACTGGCATCACCCGTGTCCCCCCAGTCCCCTGCCGTGCCCACCCGTGCCCACCTGACCGGTGGTGGGGCCGGGGGGACGCGGCCCTGCCCGTCCCCGTCCCCGTCCCGCGTCTGCTGCGCCCGACCCGGGGGGGCCAAGGGTCACCCCGAGCTGCTCCAGCCCGGCCCCGGAGCCGGGAGGGGCCGCGGGGAGGGCCTTGAGGGCGAGGGGAGCGGGGGGGGGGTCTGGGTGTCCCCCCTGTGCTGGAGCAGGCGAGGCGTGGGCAGAGCTCGACCTTTATTACCCCACACCCCGAGGGTCCCGGGCGCTGCCCCGGCCCGGGAGAGCGAGGGGCGCAGGGTGGGGGGGCTGCAGACCCCCAGGCACCGCTCAGCCCTGTCCTGCCTGGGACCCCCGAGCACGGGGGGCTCCCGGACACCCCCACAGGCACACGAGTGGGGGGCAGCGGGGCCCGGGCACCCCCCCCTTGTCCCGGGGGCTGCGCAGGGCTGGGGGCTGGGGGTCCCCCCCGCCGTTCCCGGCCGTGCCGGGGCTGGAGGGAGGAGGGTCCGGGCGGGGGTCCCCGTTATCTCTTGCTGCTCCTCCGCGTCTCTTTGCCGTTGCTGACGGGCCCGGAGGCGGGGCCGGGGTGCCCGGGCTGGCTGCGGGTGATGCGGCCGCTCGGGGGGTGCGCGGGGGCGCTGGGGGGGTGCGCGGGGCCCCCCGGGCTCAGCCCGTTCCCGTTCTGGCTGTCGGGGGCTGCGAGAGAACCGGGACGGGAGGGTGGGGTCGCTCCCCCCCCACGGAGGGGGGCGATTCTGCACCCCAGGGTGGGAATGGGGCCTGCACGACCTACCTGGGGGGGCCGCGGGGGGGCCCTGGGTGGTCTGGGAAGCAGCAGGACTCGCGCTCTCGTTCTGGGCCTGCGGAGGAGGATTTGAGACCCTCGTGTGCTGCAGAGCCGGGGGGCTGCCCTCAGGGGGCAAGGGGGTCCTGGCAGTGCCAGCCCTGCCCCCTCCCCAGCCCGGGACCCCCCAGCTCACCCCTTTGCTCTGCTGCGCCACGTACTCGGGGTTGGGCTCGCTGAAGTTGGGCACCTCGGAGTACACCATGCAGAACCTGCAGGCACAGCGGGGCCGTGGGGTCCTCCTGCAGCCCCCCCGGGCCCCACGAGCCCCCCCAGCTCCGGTGAGACCCCCGCCCCGCACTTACTCGCCGATCTTCTGCAGGTCTCCCCCGCGCCCCGTGTAGAGGGTCAGGCAGCCCTTGAAGACGGACGCGTAGCTGAGGAGGAGGAGGAGGAGAAGGGGGGTCAGGGCAGGGGCCCCCCAGGGTCAGGGGGTCTGAGTGCCCCCCCAGCCCCCCCAGTACCCCTTGGTGAGGCGGATGATGTCCCCGGGCTGGATGAGGTTCCCCACATCGTCCCACACCGAGATGTTGATGCTGCCGGTCTTGTCGGCCACTTTGCACGTCCGCACCTCGTGCCCGTCCTTGGTCTTCGTCACCCGGCCTGGGGGGGCACGCGGGGTCAGGGGGGCACGCGGGGTCAGGGGGGACCCCCGGCCCTCGCACCCACCCGTCTCCAGCACGATGAAGATGAGGTTGAGGTTCTTCAGCCCCGGTTTCACGTCCTTCACCAGCGTCTCGGTGCTCATGGTGCCGGCGGAACCCTGGGGGGGTAACGGGGGGTACCGGGGATGGGGGGCACACCGGGGATGGGGGACACGGGGGGACACGGGGGGACACACGGGGGGACACTGGCTGTGGCACCCCCGGGATGGGTCCCGGGACAGCACTGAGGGGACGGGGAGCACAGGCATGGGACCACCCGCGGATGGGACACTGGAGACGGGACCACCGGCCTGGGGACCACCGGGGACAGCAGGGACGCGACACGGGGGGGCATCGCTGATGGGGACGGGACCGCGGGGACGGGACCGCGGGGACGGGACCGCCGGGCTGTGGGGACACCGGGGACGGGATCGTAGGAACGAGGCACTGAGCACGGGACCGCGGGGACGGGACACCGGGGGGGCATCACCGCTGGGAACGGGACCACCGGGCTGCGTGCGGGGACGAGATGGCGGGGACGAGATGGCGGGAACGGGGCGGCCGGTTCACCGGGGACACAACCGCGGGGATGGGACTACCCACGAGCGAGACTCCGGGGCTGCCGTGAGCAGGACCGGGACCGGGAACGTGAGCAGGATCGGGACCGGGACCGGAATCGGGACCGGCACCGGGAGCGCCGCCCTCCCTCCCGCCCCGCCACGAGGGGGCGCTCGCAGCCCCCACCGCGCGCGCTCACCGGGCACGCTCCCGGCAGCCCCCGGATATCACCCAGCGTAGCCAATCAGCGCGCGGCAGAGCGGGTGACGTACGGCATCTCCAACCAATAGCGATGCAGAGAGGGCGGGGCTCGATAAGGAGAGCTGAGCTAAGCCCCGCCTCGACCAGCGAGTCGCGTCTCACTCGGGGCCAGAGCGGCGCTTCCGGCGCGGCAACTTCCGGCGCGGCGGGGCCGGGCGGGGGGGACTCGGTGGAGGCCGCGGCCGCCCCTGAGCCCGGAGCGGCCCCGGAACGGCCCCGGAGCGGCCCCGGAGCGGCCCGGGCCCGGCGGCCGCGGTACGTGGGGCCCCGTGGGGAGAGCGGGACCCGTGGGTGGCGTTCGGGGCTCTCGGGGCGGGGGGGGGCGCCGGTGCGACCCCGGCAGCACCGCGGAGAGCGGGAGGCGGCCCGGGGAGGGGCTGGGGGAGGCCGGACCCAGTCGGGAGTGCCCCAGGGTCCGGTCCCGGTGGTGCTGGAGCCCCGTCCCGGCGGGAGGAGGGGAATCCCCGGCCGTGCTCTCGGGGCCGCGCCCCGGCCCGGACTGGGAGTCGCTCACCTGAGGAATCGTCTGCAGTGGGGACAGCGAAGGCCGGGGGGGCCGGGACACCGGGGGGCTCCGGGTTGAGGGGGGAGACCCCCCCGCGGCGGCCGCGGAGGGAGAGAGGAATGTGGGAACAATCCCGAGGAATGTGGGTGGACAATCCAAAGGAATCTGGGGAACGATCCCAAGGAATTTGGGGGGATGTGGGGAGCACCCACAAGCCCAGCAGTGTTTGGGAAGCCGAGGGAAGGCAGGAATTATACAGCACCCGAGCTCAGCCTTGTTTTCAGGAAGAGCTTTTTTACCGTGATTTTAAATGATGAACGTGAAAATGCCCCAAAATTCAGCAGCACCAGGGAAATTTTGGTGCCTTGGTAATAACGGTGTCGAAGGTTCTGGTGCCCAGACCCTGTGGCAGCACCACCCAGGCTGTTCCTGAGCTGGTTTTTCCCCTCGTTGCCACGACCAGGAGCTCAGACCAAAATAGTTTTTCTCATTCTGTCGATTTTTCACAGCAAGAGAGAGAAAAAAAACTTGGATTCGTTTCAGGAGATGGTGGGGATTTTTTTTAAGTGGCATTTGGGGAAACGGGTATTTTTAGCAGGATTTTGTCACTGCAGAGCTGAGGTTTTGCCCAATGGGCTGGGGTTTGTGTCCCTGCCCTGTGGATCCAGCTGGGAATGGGGCTGGGATTCCCAAAGCCAAGGGCCACAGGGAGACAGGGATGTGCATCTCTGTTCAGGAGGTCATGTTCAGGGGGGCCTCGAGGGCTCTCCAGGGCTGGTTTGGGGCTCTGGAGGGACCCTCCTTCTTCCCACTGACATTTGAAGTCCACAGAGGCAGGGAGCAGGCTGGGACACAGTGGGAATCCTCTGCCTGGCCACAGCCTTTGGCCCCCCATCCCGCTGTGTCCACGAGGAATCGGCGCCTTCCGGGCGCTCCATTGGTTTTTGGAGAGTCTCAAAGGCTCCTCAGAAAATTCCAGCTCCTTTCCCACGTGGCTGGAGGGGCGTGAGGGGCAGGGCACAGCCCCCACCTCCTTCACCATCCTCACCCTCCCTCCCTTCTGTGTTCCCTGGGATCAGATCTGCCCTGTCTGACTCCGGCGTGGGGCCCTCGAGGAACCTTCTGGGCTGTGGAAGAGTGAGGGGAAAGATGGGCCATTGGGGGAGTGTCCCTGCACAGAGTGAAGCCAGCCCAGCCCTGTGCCGCTCCAGGAGGAATTCTGCCACGGGAGGTAAACCAGAGGCCTCTCCCAACCTCCCTTCTCCTGGGAGTGCCTTCAGTCCTTCCCCCACAGCTTTCTGCAGGAGTGGAGCCTCGGAATGGTGGCTGCTCCCAGGTCTGGGGGGTTTCTTGCCCCAAAAACCTTTGGTGTAAATCAATATCCACGGGGAAATAGCGAGATCTTCCTTAAATTCCAGAGGTTTGGCAGAAATCCTGCCAAACTGGCTCAGGAACTGCCCCTGCCTGGTTTCTACATCTTGTATTTCACGTAGAAGGAGCTGGGCAGACCTGGGAATTCCCAGGGGATCCCCAGGACTGGCAGGGGAAGGGTTTTGGCCATGACCCCCCTGGATGAATCCAAAGCCCCGGTGGATCCGGAGCTCTGGAGCTGCACCCCGAGAGCTGGGGGGGTGCAGAGCTGCCGGCTGATGTTTGCACAGCTGGAGCTGCTGCCCTGCCACGCTCTCCTCGCTGCAGGGCCATGGTTCCAGAGCCTCGTGAGGGCTCCCCGTGAGCTCCCACTGCTCCTGTCCCTGCTGGCTCCTGTTTGGATTTGGGGTGGGGACTCCTTTATCGGGAGTCAGGCGCCCTGTGGGGCTGCAGGGCTTTGGCACCGCCTTTGATATCGTGAGAACGGGGCAGGAGGAGCAGAGGGTCCAGTAACTGCCGGGGCAAAGCTCAAGGCCGGCCCTGGCAGAGGATTCAGGGGTTGGAGAAGGGAATTACCTGGCGGTGCTGTCCTTGGCAGGACGTTCCTTCCTCCCGGGGAGGAGCCGGTGCCGTCTGCGAGGCTGGTGAGGGTCTGGCTGCACCAGGAACGGCCCCTGGCACACGTCCCGCCTCAGCAAACCAAATAAACTGTGCAGAACAACCCCCCAGATCAAACCCCAGCAGCCACCAGGTGGAAAATCGCATCAGGATTGGGAATAAGCAGCGGGAGCAGCAGCATCGGGGCCGTTCAGGCACACAGAGGGGGCCGAGACCCTTTTACCCCCTCATAGGGCACCTGTAGAGAGCCCTGGGCGTGCCTGGGGTGGGAGGGAGCAGGAATTTGTGAAGCAGAGGGCCGGGATGTGCCCTGGGCAGCTCCCTGGGCTGCTCCCCTCAGCCCTGTGTCCCCTCTGCAGGGTTCTGGCACCGGTGACGAGCGATGGGGTATGATGTAACTCGTTTCCAGGGGGACGTTGATGAGGACCTTATATGCCCCATCTGCAGTGGGGTCCTGGAGGAGCCGGTTCAGGTAGGATCCTGGTCCTTCCTGCCCCATCAGCCCTTGCAGGGGGCAGCAAGACCCGGGATGGAGCAGGAACACTGCTCCAAGGGGTCTGTGCCATCCCAGGGATCCATGGACTGAGGCCAGTGGTGTGAGGATCAACAGGGCCAAGTGCCAGGTCCTACCCTTGGGTCACAGCAACCCCCTGGAATGCCCCAGGATGGAAGAAGAGTGGCTGGAAAGCTGGGAAAGGCCCTGGGGGTGCTGGTGACAAAAGGGGCTGGAGAACTGAGGGAGCTGAGGGGGCTCAGCCTGGAGAGGAGGAGGCTCAGGGGGGACCTTCTCACTCTCCACGGCTCCCGGACAGGAGGGGGGAGCTGGGGAGGTGGTGGAATTCCCACCCCTGGAGGTGCCCAGGCAAGGCCTGGCCGTGGCACTCTGGGCTGGGGGACAAGGTGGGCATCGGGCACAGCTTGGGCTCGGTCCGGGGGGTGTTTTCCAGCCTTGGGGACCCCGTGGGTGACCCGTGGCCGTGTCCTGCCCCCCCGCAGGCTCCCCACTGCGAGCACGCCTTCTGCAATGCCTGCATCACGCAGTGGTTCTCGCAGCAGCAGACGTGCCCCGTGGACCGCAGCGTGGTGACGGTCGCCCACCTGCGCCCGGTGCCGCGGATCATGCGGAACATGCTGTCCAAGCTGCAGATCACCTGTGACAACGCTGTCTTCGGCTGCACGGCCGTCGTGCGCCTCGACAACCTCATGTCTCACCTCAACGACTGCGAGCACAACCCCAAGCGCCCGGTGACGTGCGAGCAGGGATGCGGGTGAGGAGGGGCCTGGGGTCTGAGGGCCGTGGGGCTGGCAGGGGCTGTGGACTCCCTCAAGGCCCTGCAGAGAGGCTTTGACAAACCAGAGAGAAGGGCAATCACCAATCATACCCAGTTCAAGGGCCACACCCATCGCAGGTGCCGGGGCTGGTGCTCCACGCCTGGATTAGTTCTGGAAGCCGTTCACACGCCCATGCCGAGTGCTCTGCGTGTAGCTTCCCCTAACGTGGGGCCTCCACGTTTTCTCCTTGGCAGCTTGGAAATGCCCAAAGATGAGCTGCCAAACCACAACTGCATCAAGCACCTGCGGTCGGTGGTGCAGCAGCAGCAGACACGGATCGCCGAGCTGGAGAAGACCTCGGCGGAGCACAAGCACCAGCTGGCTGAGCAGGTGGGTCCAGCTGTGCCACCTTTGTGCCAGGGTTCTCCTGGTCCCACGGGGTGCTTGGACACCAAAATACAGAGGGGCTGGAGAGTGGCCTGAGCTGAGTGTGGCTGGGGCTGTGTGGGTGCTTGGGTGGCACTGAGGGCTCTGCGGGGCCGATCGGTGCCACGCGGCCCCGCCGGTGACTCCGTTCCCAAATCCCGCTTTTCCCTGCCGTGGCAGAAGCGGGATATCCAGCTGCTCAAGGCCTACATGCGGGCGATCCGCAGCGTCAACCCCAACCTGCAGAACCTGGAGGAGACCATCGAGTACAACGAGATCCTGGAGTGAGTCCCAGGGCTGGGCAGGGGAAGCTCCACATGGGGCAGAGGGGACTGGGAATCTGCCAGTGTGGCTGAGGGACTGGGGAGGGGGTGAAGTGCCTTCTGATGGAAAGGAAATGGTTTGCAAGAGCGAAGAGGGGAGTTTGTGCTGGGGGAGGCACGTGAGCTGCTCACACAATGGGTTCAGAATATTATTGTTCCACCTGCATCCTGCCCACAAACAGGAAGCTGCCAGATTCCTTCCTCCTTGGGAGAAAGGCTGGAGGAAGCAGCTCCTTGCTCGTCCTCTCTCCCCTCCCTGGAGGGCGGGATCATGGAGCTGATTGAAGCAGCCTGGGATGAAAACAGGAGGGGAAGGTGGGGAGGTTCAGTGTTCCCCATCCAGCCTCACTCCTGAGCATGGAGCAGCCCTGAGACAGAGCCAGTCCCCAGCTCTGGGGGAAAATTGTAGCCAAGTGGGGGTTGGCCTCTTCTCCCAGGTAACAAGTGACAGGACAAGAGGAAACGGCCTCAAGCTGCCCCAAGGCAGGTTCAGGTTGGAAATCAGGAAGAATTTCTCCATGGAAAGGGCGGTCAGGCACTGGAAGGGGTTGCTCTGGGCTGGGTGATAAGGTGGGGATTGGGCACAGCTTGGACTTGGTGATCCTGGAGGGCTTTTCCAACCTCAAGGATTCTGGGATTCTACCCCGAAAACACCCCCGTCCCCCCCACTCTGTGTCCCCAGGTGGGTGAACTCCCTGCAGCCGGCGCGGGTGACGCGGTGGGGCGGGATGATCTCCACGCCGGACGCGGTGCTCCAGGCCGTCATCAAGCGCTCGCTGGTGGAGAGCGGCTGCCCCGCGTCCATCATCAACGAGCTCATCGAGAACGCCCACGAGCGGAACTGGCCGCAGGGCCTGGCCACGCTGGAGACGCGCCAGATGAACCGGCGCTACTACGAGAACTATGTGGCCAAGCGCATCCCCGGGAAGCAGGCGGTGGTGGTGATGGCCTGCGAGAACCAGCACATGGGCGAGGACATGGTGCTCGAGCCGGGACTCGTCATGATCTTTGCACACGGAGTGGAGGAGATCTGAGGGATTCTGGGGACAGGCGCTTCGAGGGAGAGGAGGGGGAAGGTGCAGAGAGGGGGAGGCCCAGGGAGGCCGCTCAGAACTGCTGGTGTTCCCTGGTCACCGACATGGACTTTAGGGAACTGTCCCCTCTGACCTCTGGGTTCCTCAGTGACACGACTGAACCCCTCTGGTAAACCCTGCGCAGAGCTCAGCCGGCGCTGCAGCCCCTCCACGTCCCCCCTTTGCTTCCCCGTTCCGTGTCTTTCTTGGACAGAAGGAGCGACGGCTCCACACGCACTGCCAGACCCCTTGGTGGGTCCCCCAAAATCCCGGCTCGCGATCCAGCCCAGACCCCCAGGACCAGCCCTGCTGCCTGGCAGCTCTCACTCATTCCACAGCCAATTTCCTCACGGGATTTCTCACTCCCTCTGGGTTTTCCACCTCACTCTCTGGTGTCTCTCCAAGCTTTTATCTGACCCCGCAGCAGCGGGAGCTGCTCCCCTCCTGCAGGGGGAAGGGGCTTGTCTTGGTGTCCCCAAAGTGGGCACTGCCAGTGTCACTGACCCCGGAGCCAAACAGCTGCAGCCGAGCCCCTGGAGTGGGGGGTCCTTGGCCTTGGGGACCCTTCTTCCCCCTCTTGCTCTGTGCATGCCCCAGCCCCTCTCCTCGGGAGCAGCCATCTCCCCTCGGGCATCTCCCACCTCCCCCTGGTCCTGCCCCGTGTTTGGCTCTGCTTTCTCCACTCTTGGTGTTACTTTTCCTGACACTTGTGATTGTGGTTCTGTATTTTTTGTACTTTTTTTTGGCCTTTTTTTCGTTTTTATTCCCCCCTTTTATTTGATTTTTCAAGTACCATGGGCAGGCGCCTCTGGCCTGGTTCTGTGGGACTTGTTGGGAATTTAATTTATTTGCATTTGTTTTGTTTTTTTTTACCATCGTTTCTCCTCCGGTATCGGTCCCAGTGGATCGGGCAGGAGGCAGGGATTGAAATGATCAATAAACAGCATTCTGATTGCTTTATTGTTGCTTTGGGGGCCTTCACCTGCACCCTGAAACCCCCCACCACAGGGGGCTCAGCCCCAAGGGAAAACTGGGTGGGTTTGGGGGTGTCCTCCCCATCCTGGGGGGATCCACGTATCCTGAGGGGTCCCTGGGATCAATAAATGTCACTGAGGGGCTTCCACCACCCCGGGAGGGAACGGCCCACACCGGGGATGTGGCTGAGTGTCGTGGGGGGCTCCAGCCACGGGGGTCACCCTTTTGTGCTCCCCTAAAAGGATAAACCTGTCCCGGGGCTCTCACCGGTAAAAAACCCCGTACCGGGGCTGGGGGGCTCCTCCTCCCTCCCCCCGTTCAAAGAGCCGGGACTGGAGGGGGCGTTCCCATTGTTTCCACCGGTAAAACAGCCGGTACCGGGGCTCCCCGCTGCTGTCGCCGGTAAGAACAGGAACCGAGCGCTGGGGGAGTCCCCGCTGCTGCCGCCGTTAAAAGAGCCGCCACCAGAACGGGGGTGAAGGAGCCGGGACCGGGGTGGCCCCCGGGCCCATAAAAAAACAGCGTCGGCGTCACGGACAGGATTCGAACCTGTGCGGGGAAACCCCATTGGATTTCGAGTCCAACGCCTTAACCACTCGGCCACCGTGACTCTCGCGCCTCCGTGCGCCGCGCTCCGCATAGACCGGCCCGGCCCCGCCCCGCCCCGTCCACCGGGACCCGCCGCTTCTCCGGGACCGGCCGGGGGATTCACCCGGGATCCACCCGGGATCCACCGGGGATCCACCCGGGATCCGCCCGGGAGCCCACCGGGGCTCCCCGCCCCGCCTCGGAGCCACAACCGCTCCAGCCTCCCGCACGACACACATGGAATTACAGAAGGGGTAGGGTGGGAAACTCGTCTCATTCCACCCCCCTGCCATGGGCAGGGGCACCTTCCACTAGACCAGGCCGCTCCAGCCTGGATTTGGACACTTCCAGGGACGGTGCAGCCACGGGTGCTCCGGCAAATCCATTCCAGCGCTCCACCACCCTCACAGGGAAGGATTTTTTTGCTCATATCTAATCTAAACCTCCTGTCTCAGTTCGAACTCGTTCCCCCTTGTCCCGTCACTCCGAGCTCTTGTAAACAGTCTCACCCCATCTTTGCTGAAAGTTCCCTTCAGGTCCTGGGAGGCCACAGTGAGGTCACGCCGGAGCCCTCCCTTCCCCAGGCCGAACAACCCCAGTTCCCCCGGCCTTTCCTCCTCCATCCTTCCCTGGGATCACCTCGGGGCCTCCTCCGGGCTCGCTCCGACAAGTCTGGCACCTCCCCTGGGGCCGGTAACGGAGATCGGGGCCGGCGGTACCGGAGCCGGGCCGGGGGGACCAGCGGGACCGGAGGGGGGGCAGCGGGACCGGAGGGGGGGCAGCGGTACCGGAGAGGGATCGGCGGTACCGGAACGGCACCGGCGGTACCGGAGGGGGGGCAGCGGTACCGGAGAGGGATCGGCAGTACCGGAACGGGGCCGGCGGTACCGGAGAGGGATCGGCAGTACCGGAACAGGACCGGCAGTACCGGAACAGGACCGGCGGTACTGGAGCGAGGCCGGCGGTACCGGAGGGGGGACAGCGGTACCGGAACAGGACCGGCGGTACCGGAACAGGACCGGCAGTACCGGAACAGGACCGGCGGTACCGGAGCGGGGCCGGCAGGGGGAGCGGCGGCAGCGGCGGTACCGGCGCGGGGCCCGCAGGGGGAGCCCGCGGGCGGGCGGAGGCGGCGCGGCCCGGCCCGCTCAAGATGGCGGTGCGGAAGAAGGACGGCGGCCCCAACGTCAAGTACTACGAGGCCTCGGACACCGTCAGCCAGTTCGACAACGTGCGGCTCTGGCTCGGCAAGAACTACAAGAAGGTAGGTGGGCGAGGGTGTGATGGGGCGGCACCGCCGCCCCGCGCCGGGCCCGGCCTGTCACGGCGGCGCCGCCGCCATCGCCCCCCCCACACCCACCCCGGGCCCCGCGGCCGCGCTGACCCCCCCGGCCCCGCAGTACATCCAGGCAGAGCCCCCCACCAACAAGTCGCTGTCGAGCCTGGTGGTGCAGCTGCTGCAGTTCCAGGAGGAGGTGTTCGGGAAGCACGTCAGTAACGCGCCCCTCACCAAGCTGCCGGTGAGAGCCGCCGACACCGGGCACGGGGGGGACACGGGGGGACGAGGGGGGGGACACCCGGGGGTCTGGGGACAAGACCCCGAGCAGGGACGGTGCCCCAAAAGGGTGCAGGGGTGGACCCCGATGGGCCTGGGACGGGGTCCTGGAGATCCGTGTGAAAGCTCCAATGAACGGGGGACAAGGACCTTGGCTGGGGACAGCACCCAAAGGTGTGAGGACAGCACCCTGATAGCCGGAGCCAGCCCTCAGTACCCAGGGGACAGCATCCCGGTCCCCAGGGACAGCCCCAGTGAGCTGGGGACAAGGACCTGAGTGGGGACAGCACCCAAAGCCCCAGTGACCTCGTTCAGCATTGCAGCGACCTGGGGACAGCACCTGACCACGGACAGCAGCCCTGGGACAGTGCCCTGCTCAGGGACATGTCCCAGTGTCCTGGGGACAGTGCCTGGGGACCCTGGGCACCTTTCTGCCCCCAGGCAGCATCTGTGCCCCAAGGACCAGGGAACACTGCCCCTGGGACCACAGGACAGCATCCCATGGCCCTGGGGATGGTGTCCCCACACAGGGACAGGTCCCTAGCTGGGGACAGTGCCCCAGCCCTGCAGCGACTGCATCCCAGCCCGAGGAACCCGAATGGAACGGCACCCAGACTTGGGGATGGGAGCTCAGCGAGGGAATGGCACCCCCCAACAAGGGGGTGACACCCCCATCACCCCCCTGACCCACCTCCTCCCCTTCCAGATCAAATGCTTCCTGGATTTCAAGGCGGGGGGAGCCCTGTGCCACATCCTGGCAGCGGCCTATAAATTCAAGAGCGACCAAGGATGGTGAGCACCCACCTGCACCGGGGGGATGGGGGGTCTTGGGTGGTTTGGGGGGGCCATGAGGAAATCCCAGGGGCAAGGGTGGGGGTCTTCTCCGTGGGAACACCCTGGGGTGGCCTCGGGCAGGGGTGCATGGGGTGGGCTGGTTGTAGGGCTCCCACCTCCAGAGCAAACAGACCCCTGATGGGGTTCAGGCGCGTGTCCCACCCCCACCCCCCAAATTTTGGATGCTGACAAGGAGACCTGAGCTGTGGCTTTCATGAGAGTCGCTCTTTTCTTCCAATAAGGCGGCGTTTCGATTTCCAGAATCCCTCGCGGATGGACCGCAACGTGGAGATGTTCATGACCATCGAGAAATCCCTGGTGCAGGTAAGAAGTCCCATCCCTGACCCCCTCCCAGGCCCCCTTGTCCTCTTCCAACCTCACCACTCTGTTCTCCCCCCCCCAGAACAACTGCCTGGCCCGACCCAACATCTTCCTGCACCAGGAGATCGAGCCCAAACTGCTGGGCAAACTGAAGGACATCGTCAAGAGGCACCAGGTGGGTGGCAGCACTGGGGTGGGGGGAACGAGGGGGGGGTTCATCCAACACCTCATCCTGGTATTTAGCCCTGGATCCAACCCCTGGCTCTCGCAGGGCACCGTGACCGAGGACAAGAGCAACGCGTCCCACATTGTCTGCCCCGTCCCGGGGAATCTGGAGGAAGGTGGGTGTGAGGGAGGGGTTGGGGGAGGTCAGAGCTGTGCCTGGGATCACGGGGGGCTCCGGGGGGGCTGGAGGATCAGTGCCAGCCCCCCATGTCTCCCGTAGAGGAGTGGGTCCGGCCGGTCATGAAGCGTGACAAGCAGGTGCTGCTGCACTGGGGCTACTACCCGGACAGGTGAGAGGGCCCAGGTGGGAGGGCTGAAACTTTGGGGAGCCCCCTGACCCCCCCAGAATTGCTGTGGGTGCCACTCTGACCCCCGTCCTTCACCTGCAGCTACGACACCTGGATCCCCGCCAGCGAGATCGAGGCGTCCGTGGAGGACGCCCCGACACCGGAGAAGCCTCGGAAGGTAACGAGGGTCCCCCAGGTTGGGGGAGCAGCTGCAGCCCCCGTCCCACCCCTGCCTGACACACCCCCACACCTGCCAAACAGGTCCATGCCAAGTGGATCCTGGACACGGACACCTTCAACGAGTGGATGAACGAGGAGGATTACGAGGTGACGGACGAGAAGAGCCCCGTCACCCGCAGGAAGAAGATCTCGGCCAAGACGCTGACGGACGAGGTCAGAGTGGGTGCAGAGCCCCCCGTAGAGGGGGTGCTGGGGGTCTTGTCCCACCCAGCTGAACGCAGTGACACCCCCCATGTGCCCACCAGGTGAACAGCCCCGACTCAGACCGGCGGGACAAGAAGGGGGGTAACTACAAGAAGCGGAAGCGCTCACCTTCCCCATCGCCCACCCCCGAGGCCAAGAAGAAGAACGCAAAGAAGGGGTGAGCTGGGGGGTCCAGGGAGGGGTCTGGGCCCCACAGAGGCTGTGGGAGGCTGGCCCTGGGGTGGTGGTGACTGGGCATGGGGGGTCTCTACCTTCCCAGACCTTCCACCCCCTACAACAAATCCAAGCGCGGGCACCGCGAGGAGGAGCAGGAGGACCTGACAAAGGACATGGATGAGCCCTCGCCCGTCCCCAACGTGGAGGAGGTCACCCTGCCCAAAACAGGTCAGGATGAGGATCAGAAGCACCCCCCATAAGATTCCCCCCTCGTGAGCTGGACTGGGGTGGGGTGGGAGGTGTCCTGGGGGTGCTTAGTGCCAATTCCCTGCACCACAGTCAACACCAAGAAGGACTCGGAGTCAGCACCCGTGAAGGGGGGCACCATGACGGACCTGGGTGAGTGAGGCACTGTGGCAGAGCCCCGGGACCCCCGGCCTGGCAGTGCCCAAAACCACCCCTCTCCTCCCTCCCTTCAGATGAGCAGGAAGATGAGAGCATGGAGACGACTGGCAAGGTGAGCCCAGGGAAGGTGTTCCCAGCGCGGGAGTCACCTCTTTGTCCCTCTTTCTTTG